ACAGAAGAAATATACAAGAGATAAATGAGAGAAGAGAAAGAATAGCAATGTATGCTATGAAAGAAAGAGTTAGATGATAGAGTATGAGAAAGAAAAGGAAGATAAAGATAACAAAGACATAAAGAATAACTCACCAGACATAATGTCCAATATAGTATAGACTTAGATTTATTCTTTGTAGGTTCAGATGACAAAAACCGTTATTCCAATTTGTATAAGAGTTAGAGTGTATGATACTACTTATGTATAAGAGTTAGAGTGTATGATACTACTTATGTATTTTCCTCGTTGTTCCAATTTGTATGTATGATTTTATTGTAAACCCATGATTAACCTGCAATTTTAAGTGTTTTAATTAAAGTAAAATTCCACATATTGTAGATAAAACTCTGATAACTCCCATAGATTAGATGTTAGAAAATTTGGGCCGATACACCGCCACTACTAGCGATGTTCGTATAGTTGATCAAATAGGCGATATACATGTACATGAGGCCCGCAAATATGGCATTGACCCTGGAAATGATTCTCAAGATGATAATGATGATGGTACGCAGCGCGACTCGAATGTCGCTGATACACCTCATAGATATGGCAACAACTTGCCACATCTTGAGAAGTTCGGGAAAAAGTATATCATTTTAACAGTTAAAATTATGTTGTTTATTCATATTATAAAAATACTTATTTGGTTGTATTTTAATGTTGAAGGTTTGCATCGGTGCGTCATCAAATCAGGCTTAAGTTTGATCAATTTTTGGATGGAGCATGACCCACATTTACTAAGCTTCCACCTGCAGTATTTCAACAGATTTTTCGTGCTTTTGGGATAATATATTAATTAATAATTTCTATACCTTAAGTTGATTTGTTTTATGTTTGCAATTTTAGCTTTAGTTTCTACTTTTTTTGGTTTATAGAAATACTATCAATGGGATTCGCAAAATGAAGGCATGATCAAAACTAACATTTAAAAGTGTGGTGGAAGATCGTTACTCGGACCTAATGAAGGAATATCGACATTAATATGTAAATAGAGCTCGTGCGGCCGGTCACAACATCCCCAACACGGATGATGACTTTGCAATCATGAATGATTTTGATCCTAGTACATTCAATGAGGACGTATAGCATGATTTGTGTAAAGTAAGCTAATTAATATATTATTGTTTTTTTTTCATATTTTGTATATTATCTTACATACACTTTTTATAGTATTGGGACAGAGATGCTTGGAGAAAGAAGTCGGCGGCCGGGAGGACCGACCGTATGAGAGATGATAACACCGATACAGTTTCGAAACATACAAGGGGGGTTGAGGGGTTGCGATCAGTATCGAATTGAATTCGGAATTATAATAATAAATATTCATATAATTTTGTAATTGGTTTTACTTAATAACATATTCCACTAATTATACTATGTGTTTTATGTAGCAAAAAGAATTGAAGCACATCCCTAAATTTTTCGAACTTTTTCTTATTACCCACCTTAATTCATTAATTCGATTCTTCAATCTACGAAATTAGCCTCTCAATTCAACTCCAATCTCCGATTACCATGCTTGATTATAAACCAACTACTTAGCTTCTTTCTAAAACCGATGCTGTGCTATTCCTATGCTACCAACGAGCATATATCCGAATATAAAGTGTTGATCTCCAGTTCAAATTATCTTTCAAATGAGAATCAGATCTCTAACCTAACAATAAACATTAAATATGTCGGAGCTTATTGAAAATTACCTAAATTGATTGATGTTGCTCGCCAAACCTTCATGAGGACGAAGCCTTAATTGTCCAAATAAAATCATACACAGAAACCAATTCGTTTTATCCATTTGATTCCTTAGAAAACAACTGAAGGCTTCAGTCTGCTATTCTCTTGAGCTGGAGTTCATCATTGGTCCTACCTATAAACTAACAAGTGAAAGACATATAATGGCTAGGGTTTCGTATTATTATTAAAGAGAAGTACAAATACAATGAAAGGGAAAGACATAATATATAGACAAACTAATTAGGGTTTCCTAGAGAATATATAGACAAGCTAAGTAGGGTTTCCTAAAGAAAAGGCCCAATAAAGCCCAAAATCTTATTTGGCTAACATCCCCCCTCAAACTCACAATGCAACAGCAATAAGCATTGAGAGTTTCTCAGACAGAAAATGGAATCGAGGAGCAGTCAACGACTTCGTAAGAATATCAGCAATTTGCAAAGAGGAAGGAACATAAGGAAAGGAGATAGTGCCCTTCTTGAGATGATGACGTGTGAAATGACAGTTAATCTCAATGTGCTTTGTGTGCTCATGAAACATTGAATTCTTGGCAATCATTATCGCACTCTCGCTATCACAATACAAAGGGGTAGGCTGAGAGATGTAAATGCCCATATCTGCAAGAAGCCATCTCAACCAAACAATCTCACAAGTAGCGATAGCCATGGCTCGATACTCGGATTCTATAGAAGATCGAGAAACAACATCTTGTTTCTTGCTTTTCCATGATATCAATGAATCTCCAAGAAAAACAAAATACCTAGTAGTGGACTTACGATCGTAAATATCATTATCCCAATTTGCATCACTATAGGCACGTAGCTCAAGAGATGATTAAGATGGAAACATAAGAGTGCGGAAATGAGTACCACGTAAATATCTCAAAATACGAAGAACAACTCCCCAATGAACAGTAGTAGGAGCAGTGACAAACTGGCTACCCACATGAACTGCATGAGCAATACCCGGTCTAGTGACAGTCAGGTAAACCAAACTCCAAACAATGGTATGATAACGGCTTGGATCTGATAATAGGACACCATCATGTAACACCCGGTTCCTGGTATGTATTTCATTCAAGTGTTTTTCGCGATTTGGACTAAGACTCGGTGAGTTGATGGACAACTCGTCGAGTAGTAGCGAATTGGACCCGGGGGTTAAGTGGCAGACTCGTCGAGTCGGCGACATGACTCGACGAGTAGACTTTGGCAGGACAAAATCCTAATCCAAGGGTTTCTTACTATATTGGAGAAGATAAAGAAGATAACAAAAACATGATACACCTATCTTATGGCAAAGAAACCTAAAACTTGGTGCATAGCCTTCTTTTCTCATGGGTATGCTTATGAAGCAGTATAGAATGGGGTCTTAGAATGTTTCAATGGCATGATCAAAGAAATAAGGAAGAAGCCTCTACTTACAATGCTTGACGAAATAAGGATTCTCATTATGAAAAGGTTTTATCATCAAGGTCAAGAGGTATCCAAATGGAGGGGTAGTTGTGGGCCTAACATACAACTGAAGATTGATGAATTTGGGAAAAATATGAGGTAATGTTAGTTTTTATGGGCATGTATCCAAATGTATTATGTATTTATTATTTATGTGTGTAATTTGTTTGTTATGTGTAGGATGTAGAAAGTGGTGCCAAGTGGTGGTGATGTGTTTGAAATAAGGTATGGCTACAATGGATACAAGTTTGATCTAGCTACTCACATTTGCACCTTCAACTTATGGATGTTGTCTGGCATACCATGTGTGTGGGAAGCTTTGTAAAGTACATTCCTCTTTTTGGGCTGTTAACTGACATTGACATTTAGGAAGCTTTGTAAACTACATGGTATGATTGTTAAGTTATCAATATATGTGCCTTGATCACTATAAATGTTGTTACCTTCCATGTTTTGGTTAGTTTGTTAAGTAGGTTGCTATTAAATTTTCAAGATTTGGTCATTTTTATACATATGTATGTGTTAAAGGTATTGCCATTACTAAGACATAATACATTGTTATCATTAAGACATAATAAGTTGTTATCATTGTCATCTCTTACAACACCAAAATATTACCATACATAACACATGCATCAACTTACTAAAAACTTGACCAAAATACCCTTACACCCTAAACTAGTACTACCATTCCACCTAAACCTAACTAATGCCCATAACTTCACAGTGCTTTAACCACAACATTGTGAACCATAAACCCCATCACAATCACCACCACCAAAAGCATGGCCATCATAAGTAGCATCACCTTCAACAAGTTTAAAATATCCACTTGAACTGCTTTGTTGTTCTTGGCCTCCACCGAAAGCTTCAAAATCTGCATTCCAAATGCTTTATTGTTTTTAGCCTCCTCCAAATCCATATGGAACTTCACATAGTTTCCTTGTAGTAAGTGTTTGGCAGTTGTGGATCAAACCATAAAAAAATCGCATTTTTTTTGGAGTCCCGCACAACAACCACTTATTCATACCGGTTCAACAAGACCCCAAAAAGAAGTAGGAAACTTGATATTACCTGATAGCTTGGATACCCCCTGAATTTCCACCATGGATTATCGACAGTTTTGGAGATCGAGAATGTCGCAAGTTCATCACACTCGCATCTCAAATCTTCAGACCAACGATTTCTTAAAGCCCATTCTCTGTACCCTTATGTGTGCGTGTTGGAGGAGCTTACCATCTTGCATTATTGACGTTGGAGAGAAGAATTGAACAAAACCTAGCTAACAACTGTCCTCTAACATTCGTCTTTGCTTTGTAACCTGTTGAAATCGACACTTGCCCTTTTGCCATAATTCCATGAAAATATTGTGTCCACAGTCGGCGGAAATTAAATTCAGAGTTTTTTTTTTCAATTTAGTGCCAAAAACATATTAGTCCAAAAGATTTATTATACACTTCTTTTTTTTTTTTTTTTTTTTTTTTTGTATAGGTAATTAGTGGAGCTGTACCTGTACTTCTGGATTATACCATGGAACAAAGAACAGGGAAGTAGTATTCGCGGCGTCGAATCCCCACATCAGCAAACAGCTCTCAACTGCTATATAATAAATCCAACGGCCGTCATGAAACCCATCCACCGATTCTCTTGCTTCAGCCGTTCGATCATGAACCTGTCAATCGAGCGGGTTAATTGCTCTTACAACAAACATTCAAAATTCATACTTGCAATAACAACTTACATCCTCATCTCAAACGGCTTAAACCCCTTTATCCTCCTCTTTCTTTCTCTCTAAAACAATACTCTGTTTCGAGGGTTTCAGATTGAAAATAGCTATTCAAAGCTGGAGCTGTTCATTAATGTCGATTCCCATCATCAAGATGATTGGAGCTAATAGTAGCAGTAAGAAGAGGAAGATGAAATCAGCAAAGTATTACGGATTACAGAATTTTCTTCAGCCTGGTTGTCCGATCTCTCTGTCTGGTTCGTTTCGAGACAATGTCAGGAGATTTCTTCAAGAATGTGGTCAGCCTGAGGATTACAAAGTTGAAGGAATGCCGATATGGTGCACCTTTCTCGTTCATGAAAATCGGGGTTTTGTGCTTCCGTTGTATACTTTTGAAGAATGTGTTAACAACTCTCTTCAACCACTCTGCGATCACTGCCGATGCTCAGGTAATCATATCTAATCATTCATCTAATTACTGTTTACCATATCGGTTTTATGAACTTTACCTGGGTTTTCGTGTAGATTCACAATATCCCATCTCGGAATTCCCGCTTTTTTGATCACTAAAAACAGTCATCGGAACTAATTTTGAAGTTTTTATAAGAAAAATAGGAGTCTTTGGCCCTCAATTTGCAATTTCTAAACTGGGTTTGTGATAATTAATAAGGGTTTACTATATTTTGAAGGTTTTATCTGAAGAATCGGAGTTTTTGATTCTCAATTTTCAAATTCTAAATTGGGTTTGTGATAGTTTAATTAGGGTTTAGTTTCTTTTTCAAGCGTTTGTTGGATATCCCAATTTTGATTTTGGGTCTCTAAGTTGGGGTTTATCATTTCGAAATTGTTAACTCGTAGTATCAAAAATCTTTCGATTCAATTTTCCTAAACGGGTTCCAATATTTTGATTAGGGTTTACGTATCTTAATCTTGTTTTACATTTGAAATTCAATTGAATCAGTAACTCTTTAGCGTTTAACAAAGAGGAATCACATCAATTTCAACAGGTTGGAGTCACCATTTTGTCTCAAAGCGAAAGTATCATTTCATCATCCCTATTGACAACGAATGGAACAAACCAATCAAAGATGGTGTTCTTGATCTTCAAACTCACATTTTACACGGTTTAATCCACTGCAATGGATTCGGTCACCTTCTATGCATCAATGGCATCGAAGGTGGGTCCAATTTCATATGTGGCAGAGAAGTCATGGATCTTTGGGATCGTATCTGCACCACTCTTCACACCAGGTAATCCCCCAAATTTCCCATTTCTCAATTTCACATCACACTTTCTTTAATCCAAAAATCTTGAATTTAATCTGTGTATTTCCAGGAAAATAAGCGTTGTGGATGTCTCAAAGAAGAGAAAAATGGACCTCAGGCTACTTTACGGGATATCATATGGACACACCTGGTTTGGTAGATGGGACTACAAATTCTGCCATGGAAGCTTTGGAGTTACAAAGGAAAAATACGAACAAGCACTTCAAATTCTAAGCACTCTTGAACTCAACAACATAATTCAAGATTTGAAAAACTGTTCAATCAAGAAAACGATCTCCCGATATCGCGATTTAAGCGAAACCCAATTGGCAACAATCCGTGACCTCTTCCGATTCATGATATCACTCAAATTCAGAACCCCACAAATCAAAGACTCAAAACCAAAACCAAGATTGACTTCAATCAACAAGTCTACAATGAAGGAGAAACAAGCAAGGTGTAGAAAGTTCTCCAATTTGGCTGCAAAATTAGATAGCAGATGGCACGTGAGACGCCTCGAACACGTTGCTAAAGTGGTAGTCGATGCTTTAAAAGAAAAGAAATCCGAAAACCGGAATGGAATGAGTAGACAGGAGGTCCGGGATACAGCTAGGCAACACATCGGTGACACGGGTTTGATCGATTACGTCTTGAAATCGATGAATAACGTGATTGTAGGCGGTTACGTGGTCCGGCGTGCGGTCAATTCCACCACTGGTGTACTCGAGTATTCACTTCAAGACACACTCGAAAACATAACTCAAGAACCGGAGGAGACTGACCGAGTTGACTCGGTGATTCCGAAGTATAAATCCGGTTCCGGGAGTGACGTGTATAGAGATCTCACGTTTCTGTATTACCACCTTTTGTTGAATTCCGATTCCGATGTTGTTGTGTTTGCGGTGAGGACTGTTCTCGACAGTAAAAATTTCAGTAAAGAGTGGCCGTTTCATGATGATGCCGACGAGTATTTACGGTTTATCTGTAAAGTGATTCCGTTAGTGACAACGGAATTGAACTTGGAAACGGGATTATACAAAAGGAAGAATTCGGTCGGGGAGGAATTGGTGGTTCCGCTGCATGCCACCGTTCATGAACTGAAAGCCGCTGCGGAGGCCGCCATGCGGGACACTTATTGCATCATGGAAAATCTGAAGGTGAGGGAGATTGTGGAATTGGAAGGTGTAGATGATGACGAGGTGATATTTGGGGCGTTGGAATCAGGTTCGGAGATTTCGGTTCGTGGTTCCGGAGTTGACTTGTTGACTACGAGTGATTTGAACTATGAAGGTGGGGCGGATAATTGGGTGGTGAACTGTAAATGTGGTGCTAGGGATGATGATGGTGAAAGGATGGTGGCGTGTGATCTTTGTGAGGTGTGGCAGCATACCCGGTGCAGCGGAATTGACGATTCCGAAGTTGTCCCGCCACTTTTTATGTGTTACAAATGTTGCGATTCCATTGGTCCACACATGAAGCATGATGGGACAGGTTTTACCGACTGGATGATGATGCCTGTTGTTACGAATGCACATAGCAATTTGTTTTACTAGAAAGAAAAAATAGATTCATAATTGTACGTCTAAAAAATCCAATTCTTTTACGAATAATGTTCCAAATTTTGTAAATCACGCATAAAAAAAAGTTCAAAAGAAAATCCAAATGTAAAAAGACCGTCTTTAATGACATCCCACAAAATAAAACTCCAATTCTTTTACGAACAATGTTCCAAATTTTTTAATGCATGCATAAAAAAGTTCAAAAGAAAATCCAAACGAGAAATGGTCTTTTATGACATCCCACAAAATAAATTTGCTAGATGTTGTGAAAAGATGAACAAAGCCCGGTTTAGAAAAACCGGGCCCTCACCGGGGTTCTCTTACGCCTACTTGTCGTAGGTGGCTGGTTTTTGCGATTCACACGTGCCACCCTATGAGCATTATTTGTAACAGTATCAGGAACACAACCGTTTTCTGGTGCGGGTCGAACCGGTTTTGGCACTTTGGTTGTTGGTTTATTGGTGGAGATTTGGTACTGTATTTGGGGAAAATGGTTAGATCAAATGATGGTAAAAAAAGTTATAAATATATGGTTACTATTAATGTTAGGGTGAGAGTTTAATATAAATTATGACAAGTTTAGTGGAAGTATTTTATAATATTACTTTAATTATAAATCATATATGTAGTACCTTGCAAGCGATGGAGCAGAATGTGCAGCGGTCCGGGTTCATAAGTTTTCGGGCACAGAATTTGCAAGAGAGGTCCGGTTTCAGTGAGCCCGAGCCTTGGTGAGGGAGGGGACTAAGTGCAAACACAGGCTTTCCATTGGATGTGTATGGCTGCAATTGTAATAAGAATAAATTGTAATAATAATGTTTAAGAAAACTATGAACAAGATAACCATGAGTTTGATTTTGTATTAAGAGGAACAATTAATTTTAATTTATAAAGAAGTCGACATCATATTCTTTTGATATAAGTGACAACTACACTATTAACTATTGAGACTATTGTTAAAAGGGTTAAATGCAAGAATGACAAGATGCTTTGGTTTATTGTTTATTATAATTATAATATTTTATCACCGCATTATAGTTACGGTTTTTTTTATATAGGAGATTAGAACATTTTACTTTTAAATTATTGTTAGACATGGTAGTATTTTGAAAAAATATATTCAACTATAACATTGAAACTTGTTTTTAATATAATGAAATTGCTATAATTTTATACATTATTGAAATTGAACAATAATAATAATAAAATGTTGTAATATGAAAACATGATAACAAAATACTAGTATAATAAAAAATATATAAAAGTATATTGTTGCTGTCTTACGTTTAGTCCTTTTCAATATTTTATTTTATGCCTATTCTAATTGGTCGGGATATTCTAATTACTTGAACTGAAATAAAGTTTTATAAAATAACTATAAATCAATTAGACATTTTCATGAATTAAATAGATTTATTGATAATCCTTTAGTATTTTCTTATTTAGTAAGCTATTAACCCATAGATTTTTTCAAAAATAATGATTGTTTATTCCATTTGGATACATCCATAAAAGCTCAGAAAACAAACTTTAAAAATAAAAAATTAATAGTGAAATTAATCAGTTCAGATTAACCAAAAAATAGAGTCTTTGGTTCCGTTTTTTTAACTCGAGATGGTACTTGCTGAGTTGACTCGTTACCAACTCAGTAATTCTCTCAAACCGTGGATTGAAATTGACGTTTCCTCTGTTCCTTTTCCTTTTCTCTCCCGTGATGTTGTTAGAAGGTTCTTCCTATTACAGGTTTACAGCGAATCAATTTTGGCAACGGATCTCGAGTTAGTTTCTCGCTGAATGTTCAGAAATCGGTAGTTTCAATTTTAAGGTATGTATTAATTTGAGAAAGAAACTTGATAGTTTATCTGCAAATTAGGTGTTTAGAAAAATGGCCGAATAAAATTCTGTTCATGAGTTACAAACTATCTCTTTTATCTTCTTAGATTGGTTTGATTCTTAAGAAGCCTGTTGGATTTTGTTTAGAAAGAACTGCATTCCCCCAGATTTAGTCTTTGATGGAAACGCAAACTTGATAAATCAGTGAAGTTTATATGCAATTAATAAGTTTCCCTAAAATATCAAGCTGTTATTTTGTGGAAATATGATCTGTAGCTGCTTACGCCCAGAAGTTATATATTAGAAAAATTAGTATGAAAACATTTGAATCCTTGATTCGAGGAAATTATTTGCTTTTGAAGCTCTTGGTATATATTTTTTGTATTATTCATTTATTCAGCAGAGATTCGTTTTAGATTATTGATCAACTGACGAAAAATATATATTAGATGTGGTATATTCTCTTTTTGAACTCATTGTATTCATTAAGGCTCTAATATAATGGTTAACATATAATCATATATATTCATCAACCTAGCTACTTTAATGTATGATGTTTTCAGGAACTTATCTGCAAATATATGTTCTGCAAATATATGCTTTCACATGATGATACTTTGGGTGTTGTGGTAATTTTTACAGTTGACAAGGAAGATAAGTTATAATGGATGAAAACCTTGAAGATGCTGTCAGACATTTTATGTGGTATGTTTAATGAATCATTATATTAACTAGTGAATGTTATGTTTCATATGAATTACTACAATTGTTATTCTTGAAGATTTCAATCTTTCTTTGGTTTGGTTACTTGATGTACATGTTTAAGGATATTTTTGTCTTTGTTCATTTATTTTCTTCTTTTCAAAAGCCGATTCTTTCAACACATTTGTTCACACTAAACTAGCAACACATTTGTTCACACTAAACTTTCAACACATAATTATGGTATTTAAGTTCTTTTTATTGGTGTTATGCAAAGATTCGATTCATAATGTTTACTACTTCATATTTAAAATGTAATATATCAAGGTTTGCATTTATAATAAAGAGAAAATACCTGTATCTTTGAGCAATCAAGGAGTGCACTCATTTCATCCATGGATACCACATCCATATAGACAAGTCTGAATATTTTTATAACCTTATGATTAGCATGTCTCCCTTCTGCCAGACAATGTGAGCATGCAGCCTGCTCACAGTTAATGCAGTACTTGTTTTCATTGCTTTGAAAGCCGTTGTGGGCCCTACAAGCCCCAAAAAATGTCTTTGATACAAACGACTTCACCCACTTCACATCTCCTGCAGCCTCAGCCTACACAAACAAAACCCTTTCGCAGATTATCATCTTGTTTATATATAGTTTCCTCATGTGTTATAGTCATGTTTATGTATGTGTGCATTGTATGTGTATGTATATGTAAGTATGTATGCATGCTACTTAACACAACTTATTTTGTTTTCATCAGTGCGTTTGAAGACTCTCTGAAGTAATGTCTGACTGCAGGTAACACATCATTACTTGCTCATTATATATTCCATTATAATTGTTTGATAATGCATGTCTATGTGTGTTCCTTTGCTAGATAAATATATATACTTTTTTTTCAAGTAGAACATATTTGAGTATATTTATCGATTGCAAAAACCTCTTTAATGCTGATTTTCACAAAAAATTAAGATCTTTGTCCCTATTCTTAATTGCACACTTTGACATATTTATAATTTTTTGTTCCATACGTGTATATCTTTCAGAAGAATAAAAGAGTGGTAGTTAGTTAAAAAGTTACTTTGATGAGTGGAAGTAGTATATGATTAGAAACATGAAGTGACATAATTAGATTAGAAAACTTGTAGTTACTATTGGAACAATAAAAACAACAAAATAATGAGTAAGTTTATAAATAAAATCATAGTTTTTCACAATCGGCTAACAATAAATGAACTTAAGTCGATAAACAAGAAGACGATAAATAAGAAGCTATCTTGCAATTAGGAGAATATTTTATTTTACTAGTGTAGTGCTAAAACTAAACCAAAAGAAAAGCAAAGTGTTGACACATAGCTAGGTTTGAAATAGTTTTTATCAACAAGCCAAAAATAAGCAACTGTAAGTCTGTAACATAAAGTAAAAAAAAAAAAAAAAAAAAAAAAAAGTTTAATGCTACAGAAACAAAAAGAACATCAAAACTTTCTAAATGTGTCTTATTTACAATTCCTCAAGATGTCGTATTCTTGTTAATAGTTAACAGATTAAATTATAATTATCATAACTATTTTCAAATTAAGGATTTTTAATTTTTTGAATAAGGCAATTTAGGAGGTTTTAAACACTTAAATATACCTCGGTGGTCATTTAAACTGTTTGATGTGTTTCTATTTTCAGGTAATTATTTTATTTTACCCATTTGGACCATTAGTAGTAAACTGTAACACTAAATGACCCATTTTGTAATAAAATAGTTTGAATTGCCCCTTTTGCTTGTTACCTATATAGATGAGACCCAAGACAGATCCAAATTTTTTTCCAGAAGCAAAAATAACACTGACAGAAGAAATAAAAATGAACATATATATATATATATATATATATATATATATATATATATATAAACCAACACACACATGAATCCTAATTTATTGAACAAACATAACACTAACACTAACTCATAAATAGTTAAGTAAACATTAAAACCCCCCAAAATCAGAAGATATGTGGGGGCAATATACAAAAAAAGTTAGGGTTCCTGAATATAATTAATTAATTTGTGTGTGTGTGTGTGTACACACACTCACTCACTCAGACTGCACACACAAACTAGTTGAGATTAGGGACCCTAATTTATTGAACAAAAATAAGAGTAACACTAAATCATAGATCGTTAAATAAACACTGAAACACCACAAATCAGGAATATCTGTTTGGGCAATTTTCAAAAAAACTTAGGGTTCATAAAATGCAATTAATTTGTGTGTGTACACACAAACGCACAAAAAATTAATTGAAATTAGAAAACGTAATTTATTTAAAAAAAATTACACAAACACTAAAACTAAATGATAAATTGTTAAATAAACACCGAAACACCCAAATCAGAAAGATCTTTGGGGGTAATTTTCAAAAAAAACCTTAGGGTTCATAAACACAATTAATTTGTGTGTGT